TTACTATAACCTAATTCGGAAAATAGAGTAAATTCTCGGTAACTGCTCGAAGGATCCTCTACGTTAAATTCTTGTGCTTCATTCTTCCTATGTACTGGGGCTCAGCTAAAAATGCAGTTCACGAATCGACACAATTCACAAAGTGCAGAAATTGTGTCACCTCTGTAATAACTGCTCCAAAGCGAGGGCAAGCTTTCGAGCGTTAATCGAAGATTTACTGTGACAGTATTCTATGTATAGAATAAAATCAATACAAAACCGTATCTTTTTAAAGAGTATGAAAAAATTAAAACTCTAACGGAAGAAATCAGTTGTGTATTTAAAATACAATAAGAAAATTTTCAATGCAATTTGAATGTAGAATCTACGGAACGATCGTCAACAGCGGACGGAAAGAAAAATGGCGGTTGGGTGTCGGAACGACACGATAATTACGAGAGACAATGGTGGACGGCGGGTCGCGGTAACAAGCTTGTTGTACAAATACGTGGGCGTATCGGGCGCATCTCTCTATTAAACGTTTTTGTCGCTGGGACCGACATTGTTCAGCGGTCGCGCAACATCACACGACGGGGGATGAATAGCGGGCCGATAAGAGCGACACTCGAACGCCCAAAGATGAGCGTTTGTATTTTCTTGCGTTCGCGCCACCGCACTTAACGTTAGAACTACCGAATCCGTCAAAATGGCGGACCTCAGATTTCTTGTTTTAGAATTTTTGAAATCGTAAAGGCTTCACTATCAGAATTTATACTGCTTTTTAGTTTATCGTACACATTTTGTTGATGAAAAACATTGACCCGATTCCTCGGGGATGCTTCTCTAAAAATACTTTTTCTTGAAAATTGGTGGAATGTCTCTATATTATACATATTATGTTAGGTGTACTCGTAAGTACAGTAAAACCTGGATTAGTGTCCGAAAATTGGGACTGGAGCCCGGGTAATTACTAAATAGAGGAATTGATTCTAAATATAGAATCAATGTTGAACGTAGAAAAGGACCAGTGAGTGAAACAGAAAGATGAACTGTGACATGCAACAATGACGATTTTTTATTTTTGTTTTTTTTTTCAATAAAACTTTTACTGTCGTATTTGTGAGCTTTTTATGATGAAAATGATACCAAACACGGTATAATTTGGATCATATTTACTTATTAATTATTTATGATACTTAATCAATATCAATAGGTAAATATAATTCAAATTGTATAATGATTGGTCCCCTTTTAATCAGAAAAATCTAACAAATACGTTAGTAAAAGTTTCAATGGGAAAAAAGAAAAAATACGAAAATGTTCATTGTAATGTTTTTTGGGCTCTCGCCGTAGAAGGGCTTCAAGGGGGATCCCCTTTAGTGGTGGGGATGAACACCGAGCGCTTATGCTGTAGATATTTTCGAGTACTAATCCAAGTTTTACTGTAATCCACGTTTCATTGTGTTATAATATGGTGTATTTTAAATTAAAAATATTTTTCTGACTGGTCATTGAACAACAATGGTGCAGGGTGTTATGAAATCAGTACGAATATAGATGAGACAATATAAATCCTTGGTTTCCATATGAAAATATGTTGGTTTTTTCAGCAAGTAGTGGATTACTTTTTGGTGCACCGAATACAGGGTGGCATGTAAGTCACTTTATTGTTAAAACAAATCTAATACTGTAAATCTTCGATAAACGCTCGCAATAGTTTCAAACACAGCTCGAAATAGTCGAAAGTTTTATGAATTGTGTCAATTCATGAACTGCATATGCCAGTAGTGGGGATGAAGCAGAAGCATTTAACGTAGAGATCCTTCCAAGCAGTTATCGAGAATTTACTGTAACTGCATTTTTTGTTTTGTTAACTATCTGTATTCATGAAATATCTGTATTTATTATCTCTTGTCTGCCCCTTGTGTCAATTTGACACATTTTCCTTCTAAGAAAAAATGTTATTCCGTCATCTGCAAGTGAATTTATCTGAGGCTCTGTGACTTTTATTTTAAAGAATTTGCAAATTTAACTGCTTGCCTTTCTTTATTATATTAATTTTTGACCACTGTGTCAATTTGATACCTAGGGACAAATTAAGTTGGGAAATGTGAGCGACGGATGAGGGTAAACGTTATTGAATTTTTAACTGGTGGAGTGACTTACTGGACACCTTGTATATAATATGTTGCTCAATTTTATTCCATATAAATTCAATGCTGGTAGTTCTGGTGTTAAAGAAGCGTTAGCATTTTCCTTTCTCGTCGCTTCATTCGATATTTTTTCTGCGTTTTTAAAAAAAATTTAATCACCGATTGTTGCACATCTACGTTACACACATGCATATGCATAAATACGTATGTATGTATGTATGTTCTTGATGGATACGGTGAATCAGGAAAGTCTTGGGTTTTGTGTGGTTCGCGTGATGTAGAAGAAAATATAAGGAAAACAGTGACTTGAGAAAAAAAAGTAATCTGGTACAGTTGGGCTGAGAATGTTGCAGTTGCGCTATACGGGAAAACTTTCCTATGACGATTAGTAATATTTTATTTGTTCACTATGATTTGAGTCGTAAATTTCTTCAGCTACGAACGTCTAAACTATATTCAATTGAATTATAATAATAATAGAAACGTTTAAGTTTAATAATGATTACTGAGTTTAAGACACAAACGCAATTGAAAGGGATTTGTAAAAAGGTGGTATTGGAAGATATTAGAATTAAACTTCAACAAAGGAGAATAGAAATTATTTGCAACTCATTCTAATATGTAGTTTACGTAAAACTAAAAAAGTAATGGTGGACTACTTCTGTGAATAACTGTATATACAAGGTGCGTCAATAAGAACTACTATCTAAAATATTATAACTAACTACCTATTAGTTGTACCAAAAAACGTTTTAATGAATTATACATATAACAATTTAAGGGGCGCATTGGATACATACAATTTGATTTCATTATATCTTATTTTTGTTTTAGATATCAAGGTGACCTTGACTTTTTTTAAGGCCAATGCATTTTTTTTAATACCATCATGCCATAGGTCGTTGAATTCGTCCTTCTATTGGCAACAACGTATCGTTAAAAAAAAGATGCATTGACCTTGAAAAAACTCAAGATCACCTTTATATCTAAAAAAAAATACAAAAAAATTAAACTGTATCCATTCGATGTATTCCTTAAAATGCTACATTAGTTATTTAGATAGTTCTTATTGACTCATCCTGTATAATATGCTGTGGTATTGTATAAGACAGTATAAGTCTAACATTGTGTTTATGTTGAGACATTTATGAGTTAATTTATAAATAGATTCAAAGTTAATTATTCACAAATATCATAAATTATAATTAAATTGTATCGAGGAGAATTTATACTTCTGTGAATAAACTGTAGATGCGGAAGCACAATCATCGGCAGTAGCCCACGGTTTGATTGAGCGTGACCGAAAATCACCAACGAGATCGCTGCCAACTGCTGCACACTGCACACGATACGGAAGTCCGTCGCTTCACGGTTCTGTGGCTCACTTCACACGCCTCGGTTACGCGGCAAGTGGAAGCGGCGGCGCGGTGACTGCCAGAAGGAGAAAGGAGTGTGTGATGTCAGACACAGTACCCGTTGAAGCCTCGACTTGTATCACTAGACTGCGAATGTTTACTAACGGGTGTCTATGAAGTTTCGATCCGTTTTTTTCCTACAACACCGAAAAATTCGATGGATTTAAATCGTAATTAAGAATCACTAGAATGTTTTTGCATTTGTGAAATACATACAGGGTACCTATAAAATTTCTATCTATTTTTTGGTAAAACAGATTTGGGAAATTCTCTGTCACGAATTCGTATCAGTAGAATTTTTCTGTTATAACATAAAGGTTTGAAGTAAGTCCCTATCTAATTGCGGTGGAATTTAGTAAATTCGCGTTGCTAGAACGGTTATGCATTTATAATATAAGGGGTGTCCATAAAGTCTCTATCAACTATACTATACAATACTTACAAATTATGCGGTAACATATTGATGAACAAGAGGAAACAAGACAGAAATGCGTGGTTAGTTAAGGAAGCAGTTACCGAATCTTGTCCAACTCTCTCTATAAGCGCGTTTCTAGTCCCAATTGATGTGACTGAAAAAAAAAAATACATATCACACTAATCTGTCAAATATAACGGATTAATTGACGCTATACCGCACCGATTTTGCAGAACAATTAAAAAACTAGATTATGAATATACAAGGTATCCTAATAACACGGAATATTCCGAAACACGCCTATTCCTCGCAATCAACAATAATCGAAAAATTTGTTTCCTTTTTTCCTAGTTGAAGTTTCACAGGTACGACAAGCAAGACTATAAATTTTCAGTTGCAAATATCTAATTGTCAGATAGAAAGCCTCAGCTTGCAAAATGGCGAAGAACTTTTCAATTCACGTTTCCACGAGGAATACCCGTCTGTTCTGAAATGTGCCATCTTTCTGGGATACCCTATATATATTCTATACTAATATCTCAATCAAATATACAGCGTGTCCCATAAAAATTCATCATTATACTTTCTCAGATATTCATAGTCAGTGACCCACCCGGTATATCAATTACAAACTACATAAATAATGAACCATATGTTACCCACTGATTATTTCCTTCGTATTTTCTTCTGCATGACGCCGAACCATTCGGAACCTGGACTCCGAAGACCAACTTCAGAGTTCACGATGTACTTCTCTGACACACTGTATATTGTATACTATACATATATATATATATATATATATATATATATATATGCATTATAGGCATTAAAACTTTACGTAATATCGTCAAACACGCTGCATATATACACGGTGTACGCATAATACGAAGCATGTGACGGGTGCATCCGTGCATACAATACGCAACCTCCTAATTATAAGGAACAGAAGGGTGAAAGGTGCGAGGAAACGTACGTGTTTTTTACGGGGATGTTTTTCTTTTCTTTTTAATCGTGGCCCCCTCGTTGGTTTTCCAGCGATCTCGAGAAGTACTTCGAGTATCAGGGTCAGGACTACATTTGCTCGCGGCCTGACGACAACGGAATGCACTCTTGCAGCAACTTGCCGCCGCTCAAGTTCGGTGAGTGCAGACTTCGATGCCCTTAACAATAGAATTTTTTTTGTCTCTCTCTCTCTCTCTCTTCACATGCGGTACTTCCCGTTCCTGTGGAATATCGATGAAACTATATGTGTCGAGAAAGAACAGACGTCGATTCGAAAATAACGGCCACTTAGGCTGGAATATTCATTCGTTTCACTTAAAAGTTATTCAATTGAAATTGAAACACTTAATTTTTGCAAGTTCTATGTGTGTTTTTTTTTGTTATTTGTTACTGTATTTAAAATGATTAGTTAGTCCCTCGCTGTTCCGTTTCCAAGATGGCCGCCATTATGAACAGGATTGTCTTACGATGATCTTTGAGTTTAATGAAATTCGAAAGAATAAATCTAGAAATGTTATTTACTTTAAGGTTTCGTTGTAGATTCTGGTTATTAGATTTGTTTATAGGTTTTTCTAATTTTTTCTTCCTATTTCAAATCATTACGTGAATTTTAGGAACATCGCTGCTCCATTTCCAAGATTGCCGCCATTATGAAAAGGATGGTCTTAAGATAATCTTTGAATTTAATGAAATTCGAAAGAATAAATGTAGAAATGTTATTTATTTTAAGGTTTCGTTGTACATAGATTTTGGTTATTAGATTTTATTTTTCGAATTTTGTCCAATTTTTTTCTTTATTTTGTCATTTAAACGAGTTTTCGTAGAATTTCCTTTATGTATAACTTCACAACGTTTATTTGTTATTTTAAGTAAAACAGACTAGGATGACAGTAATTCGGTAGGTGGCAATAAATGGGTCTTTTACCGTAGTACTTCATAAAATGGAAATTTATAAATTTTCGAAACTGTTTTTACAACATTAGGCAGAACTTGTCTGAAGTTTTTAGTGGTTCGTTTAACGAAACATATTATACAATAAAATTGAATAATAATTTAATATTAAATACAAAAAAAATGTAGTCCACGATAAACATTTATCGAGCAATAATCTCATTTAATAAATTCCATGTCACGGATATCATTGCACGGGTTAAATGAATTTATTATCAAAATGAAATATATTAACTGATAAATTTAAATTTAGAATAAACTTTTCGCAAATAAAATTTCGTCGAACAATAAACTCATTTATACGCCAGGAATATACTATTGTTCACCGAATGAATTAAACTGTAATTCAATGTCCAATGAAATTTATTAAATGAATCGAGTTTGAATGGAACGAAAATATCAGATGAAAGAAATTGAATGGACTGTATATGTATGTATATGTATATTTCCACGTGTGGCGATGCGGCTGCATTGCAGTGGCTATTCATTTGATTCTCCGCTTTTAGGAAACGTGGTTTGCAATCACACCGCGTTGCCGAACAATAATGCGACGTTCATCACCAACGACACCTGCGTTAATTGGAATTACTATTACACGGAGTGCAAGGGTCAGGGCAACAATCCATTCCAAGGAACGATATCGTTCGATAATATCGGTCTTGCCTGGGTCGCAATATTTCTCGTGAGTGTCCTACTTCTCTCGCGTGTTCGGAAAATGGAAAGATCTCGAGCCGGCCAAATCGTCGGATACCCGTCCGATTCTGGAATATTTTGCCAAAAACACGTGCTCGAATATAATTCATTTACTTTTAACCAAGTTTCTTAAGCTGCGTCTACACTACATACCGAAATAGTGTTGTGTAACAAATTGTTATATGACACGGTTACACATTATATTTTTTATAATTTGTTACAAAAGTATACCTTCTGGACAAATCTGTAACAAGAATGTATAACATTTTACATTTCATTATTAATAATATAGTGTCAAACTGGATGCATAACTTATATGCTATATAAAGCTGCGTCTCCACTATGTAGCATAACACGTTATATAGCGAAGTTATAATACTTGTTAGAAAAATAGGAATTTTACATAGCATTTTTTGTGTCATATAGCAAGTTATATGTTATCCATTATGTGTGTCACCATTATTAGTAATGATATGCGAAATAGTATGCAAACTTGTTATAGACTTGTACAATATATATAATCTCGTAACAAGTTATGAAAATATGTTGTATTGCAAGGTTATACTACAATTTGTTATGTAACACTATTTTTCTACATAGTGTAGACGAAGCTTAACATGAAAAATGTTATACAACATTTATCTTCCTCTTTTCCTAATAAGTTTTATAACTTCGCTGTATAATATGTTATGCTATGTAGTGTAGACACAGCTTTTGTCGAAAAGAAACTACATAACACAGGCAATCCTAGTATGACGCAAAACCTCAGATTCGATCGGTGGATTCAAAAGCAAACTGAAGTCATAATATTATTGCTTTTTTGTAAATGTTTAGCTTCTGGTAATTACTTAGATATAATTCTATAGTTTTAAGGTTGGAAGTTTATTTGAATAAAAAGGTGAAGGTGAAAGTTTGGCGTGGGAAGTTTTCAGCGCCATGATTATTCCATTTGACAATTCTTCTCAAGTTCTATTTAATACTGTAATTAAAATTTCCTTCTTGTTTTAATAAATGTAATAGTTGTTGATCCGTTACTTTTTATAAAATCCAATGATTGCCTCTGAAAAAAAATTGAAAACAAATGTTTCTATCGATAATATTCGCCGTTTTTCTCCAATACCCGGACGCGTTTTTTTATAAAGAATTAGGGCGGGAAATAGACAAAATTTGTAGTGTATTATACCATCTTATTAACACAATAGTGGAGTTTTCATTGGTACATTTAATAATAAATAACCTATATCAAATTCTTTATCTTTTTTTTATTCGAAATTTTTTATCTAGATAAAAAAGTTATGTATTTTGGCTTGGTTTGCACTACTTCAATTAAATATTATTTTATACACAAAGTTTTATTCGCAACGTAATTAGTGTCATACGTGGGTTATCTGTATCCAATATACATATGTATATATAATTTATAATAATTATATATAAATTATTCGTATGTGTTTCTGGTATATTTTCGAACAAAGCTATTGAGTTATTTGACAAGCTTCATCTAAATATTTAATTACTGCTAATTATTGTAATTATCTTTTAATATTTAATTATTTTACAATTGTCACAGGTAATTAGTCTTGAGGGATGGACAGACATAATGTATTACGTGCAGGATGCTCACTCCTTTTGGGATTGGATTTATTTCGTCCTTTTGATTGTGGTATGTTTAAATACACGAGTAATCGATTTTTATTTTATAGGGAGTATACAGTAGAAGGATCATTATAAAAATGACAATAAGTATACAAATTTTGCGAATTTGTGAAAGCATTATTGTAAAAATAATTGTAGTGTACAATGTTTATTCAATACAAAGAGAAAATCAACAAGTCAACAAAGATAATTGAATAAAATTTTACGTTTTGATATTTTCTACTTATTTCTATTAATAAATAAAACTACAGTAATTGATGTCTAATAATAAAAATATTTTTATTAATTTTCATACAATGCAACACAAGAATAAACTGGTAGATTTAATATGATGGATAAAGAAGTTAAATATATGCAAATAATTATTAAAAATAAAATGAATAGTCGTATAACTATTTGAAAATTACTTTTTATCTACTTAATATTCCCATGTGTGCATCTTGTTATTATATGTGTAATTAAGATAATGGAGCTTCTACTGCAATTGCGCCTGATGTGCCAAAGATAAGTTATTTCCAACGAACGAATGTTTCTGAGAGTCTTCTAACAATATAGCCGTAGATAATGGTAGGCGATGAAAAAAATTAAATCAGCGAAATTGTTATAATTTAGTTAATTAATTGTTGGAACTAAGTTTTTTGGAAACATGAGCTTAGAAAGTGTTATAAAAATTTTGAGGTGAATAAAATGGAATTTTTCAAGGTCAGGGATGCGTTATTGTAGATTGAACATTTGATTTGCAGATTGGCTCGTTCTTCATGATTAATCTGTGCTTAGTCGTAATAGCAACACAATTCTCAGAAACGAAAAAGAGAGAGATGGAAAGAATGCGATTGGAACGGGCACGGTTTCATTCCACATCAACCCTTGCGTCGTCAACGAACACATCGGAACCTACCACGTGTTATGCAGAAATTGTTAAGTGAGTATTTCAAAAGAGATTGATATACAAAAATCTTTTGTTGTATATACATGTATATACACAAAGATCCATGAATTTCTTAATTTTTAGATCTTACAATTTTCAAATTTTCAAATTCGAAAATTTTTGGATTCTTGAATTTTCAAATTTTCAGCTCTTAAATTACTAAAATTTCAAATTTTATGCTCTCAAATCCTAAAATCTTTGGATTCCATAATTTTCAAATTTCCAGACCCTAAGTTTTTCGAATTCTCACGCTTTTAAAGTCTCAAAAACTTACACATTCTAAAATTGTCGGATTGTTAAATTTTCAAATTTTCAGATCGTGCAGTTTTCAAATTTTCAATATCTCGTGTTTCGGCCTTTCAGATCCTATGATTTTCGGATTCTCAAATTTTCAAATGTTCAGATTTTAAAGTTTTCAAACTTTCAGATCCTAAAATTTAACTTCCCATTGGTTAATTTTCCAATTTTTTCAATTTTCCAGTGTTTCACTTTCTCAAACTTTTAAAATTTTCCTATCCCTAATTTTAAAAATTTGTTGAATTTTCAGTTTTCAAATTTTTCTGGTTTTCTACTTTTTTGCTCACCACTGTCCAATTTCTTATTCCACACACACTGATTTTAAATGTTACTAAATTTCCCCCATGTACACCTATTACACTTTTCCATTGATTCCATTATACTCTTATCGTGTACTAAGTGTCCGATATACACTGTATAGAGAGTATTGAGTACTGTATAGTACTCCAATCGATATTGATTACACGATACGTAACGGAATTGAATGAATTGTTTCGTAGAAATCACACGTGTGTAATAATCTATTCGACTGTACGATCTAGCGGAGATGGATTTATCCCATGATTTATCGAAAGATTCGAACTCGATAACGTAATATATTTCGGGGTGGATTGGAAGTCAAATAGTAAATTGGAGAGGGCATCTGTTGAGCGAGACCACTCGAGGAACCGTGAGGGCGACCGGTAACACTCGAAATAGTCGTCGAGTGGGTTGATTTTCATACAGGCCTCTGGAACAACCGCGTGTTCTCTTCCCAGATATATCGCGCACCTGTGGCGGCGGGGCAAGAGGCGGCTAATGAAGAGGTACCGACTGTATTTATACAAAAGACAGCAGAAACGTGAGCAGAATTTACTTAAGGAACAGCAACAGCACGGACATCCGTTTCGGGGAAGCTCAGCCGGTCCTGCCTCGAATAGATTACCTGGAGGCAAGTACCGTCCCATTCCGTAAGAATGGTGTTCTTCGTCGAATCTACCGGGTGTCTCAAAATTATTATTATTAGACTGCGGATTTTTATAGGAATTCCAAGTTTTGTTGTCTATACATACAGGGTGTTTCGTTTAACTGGAAACGGTGGAATATCTTAAAAGTTGTTTGGTACAAAGGAGGACATTACGTGGTATAAATAATTTTTCTATAAGTGTACTAGTGGGGGAAATATCAAAGTGAAGTTAATTTTTTTAAATGGAACCCTGTATTTTTTTATTCATATTATGATAGTGTTTGTTGAGATGAATACAACGAACTGCCACATGATATCATTCCCTGTCGTAGGAAGTGATAAATTAGTAAGATTTTAAGAAGTCAGTTCAATGCAAATCGCCTAGTTGAACCCTACGTGACGAAATAAAAACAAACGATCAAACAAATGAAAACTGTACGTGTTTCGTTTTCAACAAAGAAATGGCCAACACTGAAAATAACAGTCAGTTTAAGTGTGAACATTTTTTTGATAACTTTAATCCTTCGTGAGATATTCTACCGTTTCCAGTTAAACGAAACACCCTATATGTATACATACACAACCGAAATTTTTCAAGTTTCAGATCCTACGATTTTCAAATTTTCGAATTCTTCAAATTGTTAAGGTCGCAAGGTCTTACAGATCCTAAAATTTTCGGATTCCCAAAATCTTAAACTATCAAAGTATTATGTTTTCAGGTTATAAAATTTTTGTATTCGTAAATGTTCAAATTTTCAAATCTTGCAGTTTTTAAATTTTCAAAATCTCGGAGTTTCAAGCTCTTAGTTCCTAAATTTCCAAGGTATCAAATTTACGAAGTCATGGTGAATTTAGGGTATGAGTTCATTGGTGTGTACGTATCTACTAGAAAGTCGGGGTTGTAAATTATTTATAATATGAACACAGTGTTATTATTACTGTTATTACTTATCTACGGGTCGAGTCCGTTAGCCTCTATACAAGAAAATAGTAACAGCGGGGGTTGAAACGTAATTATGTCGTAGACATAATATTATTATTTCAAGGAAATAGTCGCAGTAGGTGTTGTAACTTAATTGTAAGGTGTAAACAGAATATTATCTTTATTATTTCAAGAAAACAGTATAACAGTAGAAGTTGTAACGCAATTATAACATAATATAGGCCGTAGAAGTAGATATTAGTCAGAATACTAGCAGAGAATAATAATTACAATATTAGCAGTCTATGCTAGTGAGACTATTCACGCATATAGTTTGACTATTAGTCCGAGTATTAGACAGATAATTAGCAGACTGTTAACAGACTTTTATTAGACTGTTAGCAAACTATTAGTCAGCCTGTTAACCACACTATTAGTCAATTAGCCAAACTATTAATCACATTATTAGTCAGATTATTACTTAGACAATTAGCAGATTATTAGTCAAACTATGAGTCACACTATTAGTCAGAATATTATGAACCTATTTGTTGGACTATTAGTTAAATTATTAGCAGACTGTTAGCAGAATATTAGTCAGATTACTAGTGACACTATATTAGTCAGACTATTAGTTGGACTATTATTTAGACTATTAGTAGTCTGTTAGTAGATTATTAGCCAGACTATTAGTCAATTAGCCAAACTATTAATCCCACTATTAGATGGTTAGTTAGACAATTAGCATACTGTTAGCAGACTATTAGTCAAACTATTAGTCACACTATTAGTCAGAATATTAGCCAACTATTAGTTAAAATATTAGTTAGTCTATTAGTTAAACTATTAGTTAAAATATTAGTTAGTCTATTAGTTAAACTATTAGTTAAACTATTAGTTAGACTATTAGTTAGACTATTAGTTAGACTATTAGTTAGACTATTAGTTTGACTATTAGTTTGACTATTAGTTAGACTATTAGTTAGACTATTAGTTAGACTATTAGTTAGACTATTAGTTAGACTATTAGTTAGACTATTAGTTAGACTATTAGTTAGACTATTAGTTAGACTATTAGTTAGACTATTAGTTAGACTATTAGTTAGACTATTAGTTAGACTATTAGTTAGACTATTAGTTAGACTATTAGTTAGACTATTAGTTAGACTATTAGTTAGACTATTAGTTAGACTATTAGTTAGACTATTAGTTAGACTATTAGCAGAATATTGGTCAGGTTAGTAGTGACACCATTAATTAGACTATTAGCAGAATATTGGTTAGATTAGTAGTGACACCATTAATTAGACTATTAGCAGAATATTGGTCAGATTAGTAGTGACACCATTATTCAGACTATTATTCATCCCATTTTGCAGCTGCTTTTAATTTCTGCTTTAATCGTTCGTTAGCAGATAGGAGGCTCCATCACAGAAGGTGTCCCCGTCTGCTCGCTGCCATCGAGTACGCACAGACTATTATTCATCCCATTTTGCAGCTGCTTTTAATTTCTGCTTTAATCGTCCGTTAGCAGATAGGAGGCTCCATCACAGAAGGTGTCCCCGTCTGCTCGCTGCCATCGAGTACGCGGACCAACATCAGCAGCAGGGAATCGGTAGCGGTTCGCTGACAGACTTCACAGGGAACAGTCCGCCGACACAGGCCGCGATCCTGACCACCGCTATCGCTAGTAATGGAGGCAGCAACGGGAACCTGGCGATTGCACCTCGCGCGAGTCCTGAGGTCTCTGAAGCTGACGTTTCGTCGAACGTGTGCAACCGTTTGGGCACCCACAGAACGTCCTCGGTGTCTTGTAACGGAAGCGATAACGTCGTTTCGAACGCCACCGAAGCGAGTATACAGGTATAACAACAACAACAACAACAACAACAACAACAACAACAACAACAACAATAATAATAATAATAATAATAATAATAATAATTACAACAACAACAACAATAAAAATAATAATAATAATAATAATAATAATAACAAGTATTATTATTATAGTTTATTAATTACAGTCTGTCTTTACACTCCGAAAATAGTAGAAAATTTTTAATAAATAGTTCGTCTCTTAATGTCACCTTGACAAAATTGTCATTCTCGAAAGTTTGATATTTCTCTATTTTTGGACAGTTAACGCTAATTTTCATTAAATTTTTTATCTGTCGCCAAAAATCGTTAAGCTGTGTTTCCTTGTTGTTAAAATATTAATCCTTGAATTTTTCAATATTCGATTTTTAGACGAATAATGCGCTGCTCAGTCCGCCATGCACTCAGTACAGAAGAAGAAGCAGCGTGATGTTCAGCGACGTGGTGCTGTTGCACGGCAGCAACAACGTCGGGAACGCGTTGCAAACGAGTTCGACGGTGGCGCCCGGTGAACGTAATGTCTGTTCCAGCGAGAAAATGACGCAGACCGGTGACGGGAATGTCTGGTCGAGTCCGTTGTCTGACCACATGCAGGTATTCACTACTGTCACGAATCAGTCTTATGAATTACAAGGGAATAGCACGAACGGTGACTCGCGGATTGGAATGAAACTTTTTGGGTTTATAGGGTAATTCAAAACAAGAATAACGGTATATTTCAGTTGTGGCCAATCACCCTTTAAGAATGTGAAAACTAACTTTAAAGTCAAATAGGTACTCCCACTTTTTTGCGTATAACTCTTAAAATACTGGAAATAGAAAGATATGTTTCAAATAAATGTTTAATGGTACAATAAGAATTATAAATTTGCATTAACACAATTTTGGAAAAAGTTTTTATTTATAAAGAGAAAATTTTAAAACACGTTTTTCAAAATTTTGTTAAAGCATGTGTATAGTGCTTATTGTACTATTAAACTTTTGTTTGAAACATTTTTTTCTATTACTTGAATGTTAAGAGTTATACGCGACAAAGTGGGAGTACCTATTTGACTTTGAGGTTAGTTTTCACATCCTTGAAGGACGATTGGCCACGGACGAAATATACCATTATTTTTGTCTAGAATAACTCTATAAAGACACAGAGTTTCATTCCAATCCGCGAGTCAGCGTTCGCGGTGTTTCCTTGTTAGCAATTTACTTCTTGATCAACGCACTACAGTAGACTCGCGATAATTGTCCGCTGAATAAATACAATGCGGGTACAAATCGCGACTGTACTGTTGAATGAAAGCTGCAATGACCGGGTAACAAAGCTGTTTTCACGAAATCTACACTTTTTACAGTACTGGAAATATTGATCGAATCGCTCGAATATTAAACATATTATTACTTATACTTATCATTATTAGGAAAATTATTTAAAATAGATATTTATTGGAGAAACGTGTTACCAAGTATCTTGGCCAAAGTAAATGTAATACGAATCATTTGATCGATTGTGGATACAATTTAGGAGTAATGCGACGAATACAGGGTGGACCAATATATCTTTGACCATCTAGAATATTTTCGTTATTTTGAGAAATACGAAGAAACTTTATATCCAGAGGTTGTACGACACCTTGGTGGCCATAATCTACCACTAGCAATTTTTTTCGTGATTAGAGGGTTTTCGAAAATTTCAAAGTCACTTCCATTTTTTTTTTAAATGGCGCACAATACCTTTTCGTCTCTAGTAGCATACCGGATGTTCAGAAGTTTTCAACGCCCTATAATACGAGCTTATTCGATATCAAGTAATGGAGAGTGAAAAGATGACTTCATAGGAGATATGCTCACACTGGTATTCGTCTGTATCGAGGCAACATTACAATTGTCCAATCACCAAAAACGTAAGAATCGTTGTTACACTCCTTATTCATTATCCCGCCTTATTGAATTATTGAACACCCACTATTATAGCAGGAACACAAAAGTATAGCATTTAAAAAAAAAATACAGGTGAAATTTCTGAAAAGTCCACCACACACAATAAAATGGTGGTCAAAGTTATTGGTTCACCCTGTATATTTCCAGTACCGTAGATATCTACCGTTACGGAATTAGTTTGTACATGATGGTAAAACCATTGGACACCTGTTGGAGTGGACACTAAAGACTCTGTTTCTGTCTGTTTCGTCTAATTTACAAACCCGACCTGTTTCTCTACCGTCCAGTGATAGCGCTTTTCACGAAAACGCGACCATTACACTCGCGATCTGTCACGCGCACGTGTCGGTCCGCAGATGCAGGCGGAACTGGGCGGCAGCGAAGCCATGACCTGTCAGGAGTTGCTGGCGTTGAGCGGCGCGCTGAGCGCCGCGTTGCCAACTGGCCAGCTGGCGCTGGACTCATTCTTGAACTCGCTCACAAAAGGTACGATCCCTTTTGTCCTCCTACGGGTAGCCTAACAGTGACGTTCGTACCGAAGTTTTACCCGCTTGTCCCTCCCCTATGCATTGTTGTTCGCCGTTTCGAATCCAAGAGAGTGACGTTTGTCGCGATATCGCGACAGTTTTATACAGGGTGAGTCAATAGGGTATACTATCTAAAATAACTTATTATCTATTAGTTGTATCGAAAAACGGTTTGATCAATTATATAGCATTGTAATAGATTCATCGGACGGATAAAATTTGATTTCATTATATCCTATTTTTTTTTGGACATCAAGCTGACCTTAAGGTTTTTCAAGGTCAATGCATCTTCTTTTTTAATACCATCATGCTGTAGGTCATTGAATTCGTCCTTCTATTGGCAGCAACGTGGTATTAAAAGAAAAAGATGCATCGATCTTGAAAAAACTCAAGGTCACCTTGATCTCAAAAAAAAGTGAGATAAAAAATATCAAATTGTACCCACCCGATGCATCCCTTCAAATGCTATAATACTTCAGTAAAACGTTTTTTGATAGAACTAATAAGTAATGAGTTATTTTAGATAGTATTTCTTATTGACTCACTTCGTATATGTATAAGCACCTTTAACCGTAACTAACAAAGGATGTTCGCGAAGTGATATTCGTCGATTTTTCTGTAACTTCGCTGTTGTTTAGTGGGTCTGGGAGAAACCACCTGAAAAAAAGTTTAGATAAACTTCATGTTGTTTTTAGTCCTTCATATGTCGGTAGGAAGACATTTACAAAATTACATTTTTTGGAAAATTTCTTTCCACTGATACGTGGAAAACCAAAAACGATACAAAATCTGTCTAAATTGTTTCGTAATATCTTCTGTAGTTTGCGAATTACAAGTGAATAAGTAAAAAGGACGTCTCGGTTAGAAAGGGTGGCTTTTTCTCTGAAATGTCGAAAAGTAGAACCACCAACTACCCACGGCAAAATTCTTAGATTGCTGTATATCACTTCGCGAACATCCCATGCAGTAAGTCAGTACATATTTATTATACATATTGTTCGGTCATAGGTCAAATAACATTTGTCGTTGCGATTTGTGACAATAAAGTTTCGAGAATAATTCCGTCTCCAACTAATGTCCTCATTCTCGAAACTTTATTGTCACACCTTGTGTAAATACTACTTTCATTTGTATTAGACAAACTAATTTAATATTACGTTCAACGCTGGTAGCACCAGTGTGTAAAGTCTGCGTGGAACAAAAGGGTATTCAAGGACACCCTGGTCACGTGTGTGTATAAGGAGAGTGGATTTGTTTCAGGTATAAGGGACCGTCACATCACTCTGGAGGATCGTGCACAGTGGCTGACGTCCGAGGCTGATAATTGCTCCTGTTGCTGCGAGCTTCAGGCGACCGGTGATCAATGGCCGGACGAGGCTGACAAATGGGCGAAGTCGTCGCGCGCAAAGAGGGTGCTGAGATCATGCGGCGGCCGGTGTTTTAGCGCGTTGCGGTGCATAAGACGCTCGATCCAGAGGCTGGTCGAGCACAAGTACTTTCAACAGGGTATCCTGGTGGCAATTCTGATAAATACGTTGAGCATGGGCATCGAGTACCACAACCAGGTCAGTATTTCACTTCGTTGGTTCTAACGAGGATAGAGAACGGGGTGTGCACGTGGTGTTGTGTGTATGATTATTGGCAGAATCGAGATGTATCCACATTTTCAAGCTTCGTCGTTGCGAAGTACGACAATAAAGTTTCGAGAATCATTTCAGCTCCAAGAATAACTGCAAAAATGGGAAGGATTACGTCGAAATTTTCGAATCTTTACTGCCAAGAGAATATTGGTAGACTATTCAACCTTTGTCGTTTCCAGTTGTGACAATAAAGTTTCAAGAATAATTTCGCTCCCCCGGTCAATACTACAACAATGCAAACGGTTACATCCAAATTCCCGAAACTCAAAATCGAGATATATTCACCTTTTTAAGGTTCGACGTTGCGAAGTACGACAATAAAGTTTCGAGAATAATTTTGTCTCCAATCATAGCTACTACAATGGGAATGATTACGTCCAAATTATCGAAACTTTATTGTCAGTAGAATAGAAATAACTTTTACGTATTAGTATTGATAATTTTGAATTTGCATAAATTTACGCGGTCTAAAACTGGGTATCGGATAAGGGAGGGCGTAAAAACGAGTTATCCTATGTGTGAAAATACTTTGAGCGATGAAATTATATTGCTTGTCATAATAAGACTGCAGACTTTATCTTCTTTATCGCTTCAGACACCGTGAAATGGAACGATTCGACCGAAGGTTAATAAAATTTTTATTTTGTTTTTAGCTTTATGCTACCTGGAACTGTGATGAAGTAAATCTTTTATAGATTATGGGTTTGATGAGATGGCATATTAAAAGGAGAATTTTCATAAGATTTTAATGGATATACTGTTAATTATTAATGTATACATATATAGTTTAATATAATGGATTATTTGAAATATGTTGGATTTTTAGGTTACAGTTTTTAGATCAAAAATATTGGTTAAATAAGAATTCTTTACATCTCGATTGTACCATAACTTACGTACCACCTAATGTAGGGGTGAGCTATCGGAAACAGAATAGCTTGAATCTCTTGAATTCGAAGGTTGAAAAAAGTATGTCGAATACAAATTAAAACATTACCAATGTTTTCTTCTCATAATATTTTATAGTTTACGTAATTCTATTGGTTTTACTTTAACTTTATTTAAACTTTATATGTATAAATCTTTCATTTAGAATTATTTTTTTATGAACTCTATAGAAACATGTAATTTAATACTATTCATTACAAATCACAATTCTAATTACAAGCAATTACAAGCGTAATCTTCAAGCAATATAAAATTATATAAACAATTATTCTATTAAATAAATACTACTGCCAGCGCTACAGTAAACAATTACTGTCTGCAATAATTTTTCAATTTTATATTTAACCCTTGTGCACTGTTTAATAAACTGTTGCATTGCTAGCCTTGGAATTTAAGATATGTTTAAATATATTTACAGATCCTTCGATCGTTAATTGCCTCAAACAGTGCACTAGGATAAAAAACAATAGTAAAATGTTTTATGTTACAATAATTCATGAGAAATTGTAATTGTTGCAAGTATTCGTCACAGGTGACATTATTTTATTCTATAGGAACGTATTCGAGCTATTAAATTGTTAATCTCCATGAAAGATATTCAACTAATTCTGTTCAAGATGATCCACCTCGCGAATGTTAGTTCATTAGCGGTAGGTGTAGATGGAACGCTTCATTCTTAAACACACGCGTCGAACGTGGTATCTTTTTTTCTCTGTTCGTCGGTCAACAGCCAGAGCAATTAACCATAGTGGTTGAAATAAGCAATATTGTGTTTTCGGCCGTTTTCGCCGTGGAAATGTTACTCAAGATAATAGCGGAGGGCCCGTTCGGCTATATAAGCAACGGATTCAACGTCTTTGACGGGGTTGTCGTGGTACTCAGGTATGTCATTAACAAAATCATCATTTTTATCCTTTCACAAATCTCTCTAAAATATCTCATCTGACAACGAAGAATAGTGTTATTTAATGGGGTCCAGACTAGAGCTGTAAGTATTCGGATATTCAAAGTACTCGAATAATTCGAATAGTTTAGAATACGAATAATTCATTCGAAGAATTCGAATACTTCGAATAATTCGAATGGTACGAGGTACTCAAATACTCCGAATAATTCGAATAGTACGATGTATTCGAATATTTGAATATTTGAATATTCGAATATTCGAATAGTACAAAGTGATCGAATTTCCGTTTGTACCGAATAGGAATCTGAGAAGCAAATAATTGCAGAGGCCAATTTGAAAAGAATTTTATAATTAAGTGTGAAAACATATATTGTGTTCACATTCGTAATCAGTACAATAAAAAATTAATACTACGCATTCTTCGGATACTTCGAATACCAAATTCATTTAATACCAATATTTGGATATTCGGGTATTCCAATTATTCGAATATTCGAATATTCGTGACAGTCCTAGTCCAGACATATCAACCCTAGCCGTCCCCACTTCAGCTGCGAGATAGACCCGAATGGTATAGACCTCGCTGAGCTATAGTAATTTTTTATTTAAACCACGCGAAAAGTTGTAATATGCAACCACTCGAAAGTCACATTTTCTGAGAGTCGTCATGGAAAAAATTTTCAACGATAATTGCTCACAGCAAACTGACGTGTTAGCTACAGAGCTTAAGGTATATATCTTAAAAGGGTCGGGCTATCCAATAGCGTAGAGAAAATTTTCTCTGTTCCTTCTATCAGGGCCGTGGGACAAAAATTATGGCACACGTGTATGTAGCTCGGAGAGAACCTATAGCTAAGGTGTCAAACCTTTTTCGCGACTGTATGCGCAACAAAGACGATACCACGATCGTATAATACATTATAAACTGTTCGTTTCGAATGTTTAGTGTCGTAGAAATCTGCCAGGCCTTCGTCGAGGAGCGAAGCGGCAGCTCTGGGCTGAGCGTGCTCCGTACTTTTCGGCTGCTTAGGATCCTGAAGCTGGTCCGTTTCCTACCGAATCTCCGCCGTCAGTTGTTCGTGATGCTGCGCACCATGGATAACGTTGCCGTATTCTTTTCCCTTTTAGTACTTTTCATCTTTATATTCAGGTAAGCGGTGTCCTCCCCCACCCACCCAACAATCCGGTTCACCGCGGGACTCTGACGCGATTTAACACACACACAACCCGCCATATCCCCAATTTTTTCCGGTTTACGATCTATTCGGAGGCGCACGTGCCAAGGACCGCGTTCTTCCCAAGGGTACAACCGCGGTGTTGTGTGTCCTGACATCGAAAATCCGTTCCACGAGAGAAAGGACCTATCTGCGGACCAGATCTTGTAGGTTTTCCGCAGCTTACCCCGAATTTCGTTAGACATTGGCTCTTTCTTTCTCTCTCGAATACACACGCATCCCTACTCACGTATCCCTGCAAGTCCCTTGAAAGTCCCTCTGTTAGCAATAGATCTCTCTAGGAGCAGGACAAATCCTTATTTGGCACTTGACCCATTCACCTGTCGCTCTGTGGTGCACACAATTGGGACAAAGGGAACGTAATCCAGACCTAGCCCGCGTAACCCTTGCAAGACCCTTGAAGGTCCCCCTGTTAGCGGCAGGTTCCTTTGTTAGCGATAGGTCCCTCTAGGAGCAAAGTAGATCCTTATTTGGCATATTGACCTATTTACCAGTCACTCTGTGGAGAACGCAGTTGGGACAGTGGGGACCTAACTCAAACCCAGCCCACGTAACCCCTGCAAGACCCTTGAAAGTTCCTATGTTAGCAGTAGGTCCCTTTGTTAGCAATAGGTTCCTCTAGGAGCAGGACGAATCCTTATTTGGCACATTGACCTATTCACCAGTCGCTCTGCGGAGAATACAGTTTTGACAATGAGGACACCTGTCAGTGTGGACCTAGCCCAGACCTAGCCAACGTAACCCTTGCAAGACCCTTGAAGCTCCCTCTGTTGGCAATAGGACCCTATGTTAGCAATAGATCTCTTTATTAACGATAGATCCCTCTAGGAGCAAAGTAGATCCTTATTTGGCACATTGACCTATTCACCAGTCGCTCTGCGGACAATACAGTTTTGACTATGGGGACACCTGTCAGTGTGGACCTAGCCCAGACCTAGCCAACGTAACCCTTGCAAGACCCTTGAAGCTCCCTCTGTTGGCAATAGGACCCTATGTTAGCAATAGATCTCTTTATTAACGATAGATCCCTCTAGGAGCAAAGTAGATCCTTATTTGGCACATTGACCTATTCACCAGTCACTCTGCAGAGAACACAGTGGACACAAGCTGCACGGAAGGGGTCCCTTCTCCCGTGGAACGGGGTTCCAGTCGCGGATGATCAGTCTCTAATTCGCTCGGATCGAAAGAACGAAAAAGAAAAAAGACGACTAATTCGTTTCACCACATCAGCCTATTACGTCTATATATTGCATGATCGTCAAATGCGGGTTCGAGAGTACTTACACGTTCGATTGTGGACATTTTATTGTGTAGCGCCGCTGACACAATCGAGCAAACAAACGTGATGATCGTTTAAGTGTCGATGTGACTTTTTTTTTTGGCCGATTAACCGTTCTGATGTTCGTCATTCATGAGAATGCTGAGATTAGCTGGTCTCTATCTCGTTTATACTCGCTGGAACGACGCTTTCTCTCGTGTCGCTTCTCAGCTACCTCAGATGGAGAGCTTTTCTCCTGCTCGCGTGATTCACTTGATCCTTTTTGAGACGCGAATTAGGCGACCATGTCTTCCGTTTTATTGTACTCCTGCCTCTCGCTTCTTTTTTTGTCACTTTACCCAACCATATCCAGATCCATCCGCGTGATTGCATCGTCATCGTGTGTAGATGGATCTCGAGTTTGCCAGCCAGCCAGTCTCCGTATAT